CTGTCCCATGGAAAGGCCCTGTGCATTGGGGAGGCCCCCATTCTAGGACCTGACATGGGCCCCACTCCAAGAGCCAGCACTGGGGCACCTGCCCCACAGAGGTGGGGGGCTACCCACGGTAACCTGAGAGGCCTCCACTGGGAACAGAGGAAGACCTGTTTTCTGCTAAGGAGCTCTTACCGGTTTCCTCTCCTTCCTCCACTACCCATCCCTTGGAAGAGCGGAGTCTCATGAAAGCCCAGGGGATGTGGTCTCAGAGCCTGCTGGGACCCTGCTCTCCAGCCAGCAGTCACATGCCCGCTCAAGGGGGAGCTGGGGCAGCAGGGAGGGTTGGGGAGCAGGATCTAAATCGAGCTGGAGACTGAGGTTTGGTAATGGGCAGAACCGAGCTTGTAAAGAAGGGAAGTGGCCAGGAAGTTGTCATAAGGGATCTAGGGCACCGTGGAAAGAAGGTGCAGAAAATAGTGAGCCCAGAGGACACATTTTACCTTTGTCCCCAGGGCCCTGAGGTTCCTCACAGGGGGGCTGTCTACCCTCGCTGAGCTCTCAAGCACCTGGGAGCCTCGGTCACCAGAGATGCAGCTTCCAGGTGGTGGGGGAGGGAGCGTTGAGTGCTCACAGGAGGGAAGATATATTCCTGCTGCATCACAAACGTGGTCTACCAGAAGCCATGGGACAATGTAGAAATTGCAAATTTTTAATCCATATGGAGAAGGAAACACAGAGATAATCTATGTTGTGATAGTCACTGGAGTTCACTAAGTATTTCTAATTCTACTCTGGGTACTTACCAGCTGTCTTGGAGTTAGGTGGGAACCATGTGGTTTGCTTTTAGTCAATGACATGTGGGCCGAGTGACATGTCACTTCCAGATGGAAGCTTTAGGAACCAGTGTACAATTTACCATGTGTCCCCCACCTCCCCCTTTTCTGCCACCACCATGGTGGAGGATGGAGCCTCCCTTAGCTTGGGTCCCTGAGTGAAGACAAGAAGGAGGAGCGCCCCCTGCTGACGTTTTATGGATAAGTTGCAGGAATGAGAAGAACTCCTTTGGGATTGAAGCCTTGGGGCCTGTGGGTGTCTGGTACTGCAGTTGATGGTGGTCTCTCCTGATTCCTGTGAGTAGGCTAACAGTGTGCCCATCACCCAGTGAAGAGACCACATGTAAGTATGCAGCCTCTCCACCATCAAGTGTGTGAACGATCAGGGTTGGCTCGGTCGGGTATGCCACATCCAGGATTGCGGTCTTTTAGCTACATCAAAGTTGTGGCTAGGAAAACCCCCTGCAAGAGGACCTTCATGGTGTGTCCCTTGTTTAAGGGAAAGGGGCGGTGCAGGTGGGGAAAGGACTGAGGCGGCCCTGGTGAGGTACTGGCTGGGGATGACGTGGAAGAGTAGAAGGAATTGGCCAGAGCTCTCACCCAGATTTGCTAAGAAATAACAGGAGAAACCTGTGTCACATATTTTGCACCCCATTCAGAGGGCAGGCATGCAAGTAAGGCCGTGAGTGTTCTCTGTGTGGATTCATGGAAGTCACGCAAAGGGGGGTAGTGGTCCAGGCTGCAGGGAGGAGGGCTGGAGTTCATGGCACTGCACAGAAAAGGTCAGGTTTCCCCAGTCCCCACCTGCACAATGGAACAGAAGGCCAGTGCCACAGAGCAGAAGATGGGCATGCTGAGAAGGTCTGCAACCACGCCTGTGGCCTTGGGGGTCATTCAGGAACTTGGGAGCAAACAGCCAGGTGACCAGCCTGGCTCTCTCTGTCTTTTTTCCTACAAGGCATGGGTGCTGCCCGCTTCCCCTCTTCCCTGAGTCCCCTAGAGAACCAGGGGTGTATACCAGCCTACAGGTCCCTCCCCAGATGGCAGCACAGGCCCAGCGACACTTCTCTCTTCACATCCTAACTAAAAATGTCCTCACTCTTTCCCTCCCCTCAGAGGTTAGGTGTGGCTCAGGAACGTCTTGGCGAAGGAAGAAACAGGATGGGTCTATCTTTCCCTTGACTGCAACTGATAATGGTCCTCCTGTCCTTGGGGAAAGCAGAGAAAGGCTGAACGGGGCTGCAGGTGGGCCCCGCACTCACGCGCGAGCTCAGACTCGTCCTCTCCTGTACCAGGCTGGGCGTCTCTGCCGGAGGCTTGGTCTGCCCTAAGTCTCCCACTGACGTCCCACATGGGCAGATGCCTCCCCTTTTTCTCTCCCCCAAATCCCTGAAGCCTATGGGAGGCCTCAGCAAACCAGGGGGCTTTTACTGAGACTCTAAACACCTCAGAGTAAAACACACTCAGAGCTGAATGCAACCACGTGGGCCCCCGGGGGGTGGGGGGAGAATTGGGGGAGAGGGCAGAGGCTGCTGTTCTAGAGCCTCAAGGATGGCAGCCAGGAGTGGGCAGGAAACTGCGGGTGATGCCACCAGCAAGTCACTGAACTCCCGAGTGTGATTCGTGTGAAACGGAGAGAAAGACGCGTCTCGCTGGGCTGTCGGGATACACAGGATAGGGCACGTAGACAGCGCGCTGGAGCCAGGGGTGAGCCTGGAGACTCGGTGTCAGCACTAAACCCACATGATGACATGCACGGGTGACCCCCTTTCCCAGGAGCACTTACCTGCATAAAGGGGTAGGGGAGGGTTTTTAAGAGGAATTACCTTCTTTCTGTTTGCTGGCAAAGAACAGAAGGGCAGAGTGTGGCAGAGGAAATTCTGGAGAAGGTTCTTGGAGGGTGGTGGAGAAGCCATTTCGAGGGACAGCCTGCCCCTTTGTGTGGGGAGGGGAGGAAAGGAAGAGGTGCCAGTATACTGGAGAACATCTAGAGCCTTCCCTTGGCTGCCAGTCGAAGCCCCCTAGCAATGGGGACCAGGCCAGCAGCCTCAACCCGAGTAGGTACCCCAGAGATGTCATGAACCCCTTTGGGCCTCTGCACCCTGTCTACAGCTGCTTCCCACCTGGGGTCCTGAGACCGGAAGTATGGATGATGTCCCCAACCCCTCCAGCCTGAAGCCATGGATTGGGCTTCCACCCCCCCACCAGCCCTGCCCCCACAGCACGGCCTACAACACTACCGACCTTCCGGTGATGGTTTTGGGGAGGGTAGGCAGCTGTACAAAGATGTACAAACATGGGAGATGAAGGCCAAAGGGATCAATGTCCTCATAGCAAAGCAGGCCGACACCTCTCAGCCACTTCAGACTTCCCTTCTCATCTGACAACTCGGACTTCTTAGAATCAGAGCACCAGGGAAAGCCACCAATCTTTTAAGAAAAAGAAACCCTTCCATGAGGGGAAGCCACCCAAAGAAAGAGGCAAGAGCTACCAAGGTTTACTCATTTTTATTTTTTATAAAACAAGCTACAAATACCTCCCTCTGTCCTCACAAAGGCAAGCCACACAACACAGCCCACACGTGTGAGAGAGAAGATCCAGGGTTGGGGAGGAGGGGTTCTGAATTTCCACAGGGGGGCGCCCTCTCTGTGTTTTCATGCTTCCTCCAGGCCCAGGAAAGGGGCTGGGGCCTCTGGAAGGTCCATCCTGCTCTAGCGCGCTGTGTCATCTGTCCAGGCCAATGCTGGGGGCGAGGGTTGGGGGAGGCGCTCCCTTTCCTCCTTACCACGTTGGGATGGGGCCTCCAGTCACCCCTGAGACAACCTCTCGGACTTGCTCAAGAACCTTCTCTAGCATGAGGCCCCACCAGAGCATGTCCTGAGGAGGGTGCGCTGACCCCCCAACTCCACCCTGGGCACTCTCTGAGGAGAGCCTTGAGTGGGCCCGTGCTTCTGGTGCCAATGCCTTCCAGACCGGAAATGGATACACTGTCTGCTGAGGTGGGTGCACTTATGGGAATGCTGGGTGGGATACAAGATGAGGCCAGAGTTCCAGGACCAATCTGCTAGGGGCACCGGTCCTGGGCCACCTGTCCTTCGATGCTGCCACGGCTGCTCATGGGAAGAGACACTCAGTGTCACTTGTTGCTGTCTAATGGCTGTCTGAATGGGCACGGCCACCGGGCAGAGGAAGGCTGGTCAGGCTGCTGTGGAATCCCAGAAACATGTCTGTGGAAGGTGAGGCCTGGATTTCCCCCTAGCTGGGTTATTAGCCCTACACTTCCAAGGGGGGCAGAAGTTGAAGGCCCAGGATCAGTTTTGCTCTGGAATTGGCCTTGAGCCTAGAAGCCCTTAGGAGCATTTGAGGGAGAAGGAAAAATCTCAGTATTGGGTTAAAAAACAAATAAACCACTGAGTCACCAACAAGATGACCAGTTGAGCTCCTCCCTCAGGCTTGTCATCACCACTGAGGACAGAATGGCCTGCGAGATACAGAGTGGAGATGAAGACCCCGTCTGACCCCACTGCTGAGAGGGCCAGTCTTGGGAAGCCTTGCTTGTGCGTTTGCAGGGGGCTGGCAGCACACTCATCAGTGCTGGCCTCTGTCCGCTTTCCTCCATGGCTTAAACATCAAACATCTACCAAATAGAAGGTCCCACTGTCTCTTTTTCTTCTTTGCCTCCCTTCTCGTGCTTTACAGAGTAGACACTAACACAGGCAAAAATGTTTCAAAGGACCTAATGCAAATCGTCTGGGGATCATTTGCTCAGTGGGTCACGAAGATCCTGGCATACCCACGGATGGATTCTGTTCTGGGCCGCCTGAGGGTCCGGAGAGTAGGACCATGTGGGGATGTGAGAACGGGTGCCTGGGCTGGCTAATGCCCTCCCTCCAGGGGGCATCTCCATCTGTCCCCCAACCCAACCTCCCTTGAGAAGGCCAAGTGCCCAGTGACCTGCGAGATCTGACAGCTAAAGCAAGGGCAGGACCCTCCTCCCCCGAGAAAAGAACCAACAGAGTCTACACACAGGGGTTGGCCTCCAAATGGAATCCAGGTGGGCTGGGGATACAGTCCTGGGGTCTAGAAATCGGGGCCATGTGTCCACAGCCCCCACAAGGAGGGCAGGAAGAGGGAGGGGAATGAACAAACAGCAATACCAACGCCTGTACAAAAGAACTATACAATTTACATATATATTTATGTACAGTATATAAATCTCTTTCTTCTCAGTCCCAACAACAAACACCCGCCCGCCCACCCTTCCCACAACAAAACCCCTCAAAGTTGTCAGTAGCAAATCCAAAAACTTACAATAAGAGAGAGAATAAACAGTCTTTTTCCCTTTCCTTTTCCCACTGGTATTAGATACTGGTGTTTTAAAATGAAACCCAAAAGAAAACACGCAAATCAGAGTTATTGAAAGTGCAAACACGGTGGGCACCACTTATGTCACACGGGATGCGGCCGGGCCAGGGGAGCTGGGGAAGTTTTGATGTAGGGTGGTCCGTCCTGCCTCCCTGGTCTCTCCACCTGCCCTTTGGTTTTCTGCTCCTTAGACGAGGCGTCCTACTGGGAAAGGGAAACAGAAGCAAGAGGTCAGAGGTGGGCCAACTGCACACATTCATTTCCTCACAAGAGCAGCCTGTTAGAGACGGGCTGGGCAGGACGCAGGGAGCCCAGACTTACAGGTAAGCCCGTGTTTTACCAACCCATCCTTTGCCCGCATGGAGCACCACTGTGACCCCTGAAGCAAGTCTGGCATTCCAGAGAATGAGGCCTTGCCCAGGAAGCACGGCTGGGGGAATGCAGCCCCTATGGGCCATCTGACTCCCAGACACTAGCCGTTCAACCTGGGAGAGAGCAGGCGTGGCTTTATATTCAGGGATGGCGGATCCTTGTAGAACGAACCAATCTTTCCCTGTGTCCCCAGCAAACAAAAATGGAAAATGGGAGCCTAGATAACTTGGCCAGCTCCTCCACTCGGGCCAGACTACCAGTGCTGCATTTAGGGGGCCCACGGAGGGGACCCCAGAAAGAAGGCAACTTACTGAATGGGTTTGGACCGGCTCATTTTCCCTGGGGGGCGCTGCTGAGACCACCACCTGCAACAAACGGGAACATAGGACACTCAGGGGGCCTTGACCCAGAGAACTGGTGGGGCGGGGCTTCCTCTGTGCCTGGGTGGCTGTCTCCTCCAGCCCCTGGAATGAAGAATGGACTTAGGAGAGAGAGATTGTGTGGCCGTGCTTCCTGTTCTGTGGGTGTTGTCCCTCTTCTGCCTGGGTGAAGCCACCGCTGACCAGCACCTTTAAACAAAGTCTCTTTTCCATAAGGCCAGGCCCTCACGGGAGCACCTCTCTGAAATCCTCCAGCTATTAGCTAAGAAGGGCTTTGATGCCAATGGACATTTGCATAACCTTCCTGGGTCCCGGTTCTCCATGTCACAAAACATCAGGGATGGAGGGAATCTTAGTGACCACCTGGTCCCGCCTCTTCACCCAGCAAATCTGGAAACTGAGGCTTGGAGCAATTGCATGAGTTAACCAAGGCCCAAGCCTCACTCTGCTAACACCCACTCTGCCCCATAGGGTGCTGATGGGTCTTGAAGGCTCCTGTAGGGCCCAGGGCTCCTTGAGGAGGAGTGGGAGCTGGGCCAGCTCCGCGTGACCCCAGGAGGCTGTGTGACATTGCGCACGTACCATAACCACGCTGGGCCAGTCTACAGAATGGGAATTGGGGCCACAGCTGTGCCGCAGGGCTACCTTGAGGACGGACTGAATTCATAAAGTGGAGAAAGGGCTTTGAAGAGCGTGAGGTACTGCGGGAACCCACACCCACCCATGGGCCATGCGGACCCACAGCTCAACGCTCCCCTCTCCCTGTTACGCTAACATTCCTAAGACCTGAGAGCAACAGAACCCCAGTTGAAACTGGGATGTCCGATTTTACAGATGAGGAAATGAGCCTGGGAAGAGAGTGATGGGCTCGGGCACCAGCAGGTGGGCAGTGACAGAATCCCACCTGACTCAGAATCCCATCGTTCATCTGCTCTGTACAGTGGCAGCTTCTCTCAGTTGACAGCAGGAAGATTCACAGAAAGAGAGAGGTAAGGGGAGGTGCCTTAGTTGAGCCACAGGGCCAAGCAGAGACTTGGGGAAAGGAAACACCCGCTGGGGAGGACCCAGCCCTCGCTTGGAGAGGCTTAAGGCACGAATCCTTTACCTAAATCTCGTCATTTACCCTGCAGGGCAACTTTATATGATAGTTACAAAATGATCCAATCATCCCCATGTTATGATGGGGGCACTGAGGGGAGATGGCGTAGCTTTTATGTGTGAAGTGAACTCAGGCCTGGCTCTGCCCTCCCAGCACCACGCTCTTAGGGGCACGGGGGTGTGGGGGAGGAAAGGCCGGATCCCGGGGCATCCTTGGGCAACGCCAAAGGAGGGATGGGATGTTTCACAAATGCAGGAACTAGTCTCCAGTCTGCCTGCCTCATGTGATGGTGCCCATCACCCTGATGAAGACGGTTTATTCACTGGGGAGGACAAGCCAAGAAAGAAGGCCCGGCCCTCAGAACGTTTGACCCCCTCATACCGTGCCGACAGCTCGGCCCCCAGTGCAGTCTGCTGAGTAAAACTACCAGTGTTCATGAGACATTTCCAGAAAATGTGGTCTCTGAGACCCAAAGCGACACTCGTTCCTAAACTGCCTGTGCTCCCCCAGCCCCCTGGAGCCCCCCCACCGGGCCTGCAAGCCCCTCTCAGCCCACCAGAGGGCACCGCGTGTCACCAGATGGCCAATGCTGGGCTCGGGCCCCACATAACCTTCTACTCAAGTGGATTTTCTGCCACTCCCCAGAGCAGAGGGCCCCAGGGAAGCTGCCTTCAGCCCGTGGGCGCGCTCCTCTACTACTACCAGTTTCTTCTGTGCGTTCACCACAGACTGGGTTACTGGGCTAAGTGCCTCACAGGCACCATCTTGTTAAATCTTCACACCAAATCTATGAGGTAGATGCTATCACCTCCATTCTGCAGACAAGGAGGCCAGAGAGTTTAGATGACTTGCCAGAAATTATAGGGCTAGCGAGTGGCAGAGCCGGGATTTAAAAGCCAGGTCTGTCCGACTCCAGAGCTTCTGTTCTTCATCCACAGCCCCAGCCCCAGCCTCCCCTATGCCTCCCATTAATGGCCCTTTCTCTGGCAGGAGAAAGCACTCTGGGGGCCTCCCTGGGCAACTTGACACGAGAGCCTCGGCCGAGTCTGGGTGAGGAGGAGCAGGGCTCCCTAAGTATCACATCCCAGGGGACAGTTCTCCTGGGTGCTCCCCTCAGGTCCTAGGCAGCAGGCAGCGTTGGCAGACCCTGGCATCTGGCAAGGCTTCCGAGAAAGGCCCGGAAGCCCCGCTCTGCTCTGCAGACAAGAGGTCCCCTCCCTCGGCCTCTCCTTGGCTTCTGTGTGGTGCATAGACTAGAGGGTACTGAGGGCAGAGTCATTACAGACTCCTGTGAGTCCGTACCCCCTCGGTCCCTCCATGCTCCTGGGGCTGGGCTCCACACTAACACTGGGTGGGTTCCTCCGGTACTGACCCCTGCCCGTGCTCTGGGAGATGAGCTCAGACTACAAGCTTTGCTAGAGCAGGTGGCCCCCTCACCCAGGAGGTCATTGGGCAGATAGGAATGGAACGATGCCACGCCTGGTGCTAGCGGGGACACTGGGAAGACCGTGCTACAGGGTGGGGATGCGGCTTCCCCAGGCAATAATGGTAAGAACAGGAATGTTGAACTTGTATCCAGTTCCTTCACTGTCCCAGGGGCTGGATAAATGCTTCCACTCACTGTCCCACTGAATCAGCACAATAATCCTATGGGGTAAATACCCTGGTTACACCCATTGTACAGATGAAGAAACTCAAAGCCAGAACAGTTGTGTGGTTTGTATATGGTGAAGGAGCGAGTCTGTAGCTGAGGCAGGGTTTGAGCCATGACACTGCCCTGCGTCCTGGGGGAACACACAGAGCCTCCTCGATCACACAGGAGGGGCCGGAGCAACGAGCTCACTCCTCCAGGGTCATGGACCCCAGAGGCAGGGCCAGAACCAGCTGTGGAGTGGGGAGGTCCCGAGACAGGGTCCCTAGTGGTCATTCATCCACTTCCTGGGCTACGCATTGGGTTCAATGTCAACTGAGGATTAGTGCCAGGGAAAGCCCTTATGTTTTCTCCCTGGGCAAGCTCAGCTTTATCGAAGCTTCCACTTCAAATAAATTGGTATGACCCGCCCAGACCCCTCACCTGCACTAGAGAACCACCCATCCTTCAGGTGTATCCAACTTGACATGTCCAGACCATACTGGTTGTCTCCCCCCTGCCCCACGTGCTCTGCTCCTCCTTCCATGTCGCCCAACTCCGTGAACAGACACCCCCCTCCAGTTGCCCGAGCCCACCTCCATCCCTCTATCCACTTGGTCACCAGAACCACAGCTCGAGCTATCTCGAATCCACTCGCTTCACCCCTGCTGTGCCTCTGTCATCTCCCGCCACAGCCTCCGGTGGGTGCCTTGCTCGTCTGCAAACCCATTTCCTGCACTGCAGCCTGAATGATTTTTTATTTTCTTTTTATTTTTTTTTTAAAGATTTTATTTATTTACTTGACAGACAGAAATCACAAGTAGGCAGAGAGGCAGGCAGAGAGAGAGAGGAAGAGGAAGCGGGCTCCCTGCAGAGCAGAGAGCCCGATGCGGGGCTTGATCCTAGGACCCTGAGATCATGATCTGAGCCGAAGGCAGAGGCTTTAACCCACTGAGCCACCCAGGTACCCCCTGAATAGTTTTTTAAAGCAAAACCCATCCAGTCATTTCTCTGCCCCAGCCCCTGTGACAGCTCTCCGCGGACCTTATGAAGCTGAGACTCCCCACTTGCCTCCTTTCAGCCCTTGGCTGCTGCCACGTTCAAATACGCATTTCAGCCCCACTGACATCTTCCTCTACAACAGTCCTCGCCTCCACACCTGCACCCTTCAATTGCCGCAGCTGAGAATCCCCGCCCCCCACTGACGCGCTGGCTCGGCCATCTTGTACCCGTGGCTCGGGTATCGGTCTAGACCAGGGCTCAGCAAACTTATCTGTCAAGGACTAGGTAGCTATTTTAGGCTTTGTGGGCCAAGTGGAGGCTGTCATTTGTTCTTCTTTGCTGAAAATTACATCCCTTTAAACATATAAAAAACACTCTTAGCTCTCAGGCCATAAAAAAATAGGCCATGGACTAGATGGGGCCCCAGGGCCATGGCTGGTTTGGACATCACTTCCTGCACCAGGTTTTCCAAGGCTGTCCGCCCCTGAGCTAATTTAAGTGCTCTTACACGTGTTCCTACAATACTCCACACTTGTTCTATCATGACAGAGATGGTTAGGTTTCCACCCAAATCCGTGTTCTCCTCCTCTTCCTGGGCTCCCAGCCTTCCTTACTGTGGGGTGTGGCCTGGTAGCCGTTCCAACCCCGGGGATAGGAGAGGGGATGTGTCACTTCAGGACTGGCCCATAAAACTCCCCCACGGGCACGTGCACTGCTCTGTGCTTGACTCCCTCTGGCCGACTGGGAATGGAAATGACCCCCCATGGTGACCTGGAAGCCCATAATAAAAATGACGAATCATTCTCGGCCAAGATCTCAGAGCGAATGCACAGAGCAGTCTCCATTCCTATCTGTCCTCCTGGAAACACACACACACACACACACACACACACACACACACACACACCCCATGACCCAGAATCACATGCTGAACTATCGCATGGGCAAGATGAACAAGTTTCTCCTGTGTTGAACCATTACATGCGTGCCTGGCTTATCCGAACGCATTCTCCCAGCACTCAGCACAATGTCTGTAAATACGTTCCTATCTATCTCCTTGGTAGACCGTGGGAGGACAAGGGTTTTGCCTGTGGACTCCTTCACTGCCCCAGGCATCTCCCCGGAGCCCCCTCTATGGGGGGAGCCCCCGGTCCCTTTGCCTCCGTGGGCCAAGTTCTGGAAGGCCAGGAGCCCGGAAGCGAGCACTCACCTTCTTTGCTAACACCCAGGCAGCCCTTCAGCTCGGGCAGCGAGATGACCTTGTCCTTGTTCAGGTCGCAGTAGTCAGTGAAACGCCGGGCGCACTTCTTGGGCTTGGCTTTCTTCTTCACGTAGCGCTTGAAGGGCTTCATCTCGCGCTTGTTGATGTCGTTGCTGCTGTTGCTGTCCAGCTGGCTGAAGTACCAGTGCACCACTCGCTCCTCCAGGGTGTGGCTGGGGTCCGGTTCTGCAAACCTGGGCCACAGGCAGACCCCCGCCCCGCCCCGAGATCCCCGCTCAGCATCCTGCTGGAGCCACCCACCCTGCCGCAGGTGTCTCCCACAAGGTCAGATGCCGGGGTCCTTGTGCTGTGCTGCCTGCGGCCGGGGAGAAATGGCTCCCCCGAGCCAAAGACCCCCCAGCCCCACTCAGCCAGCAGCAGGATGGAGCTGTCCTCTCCTGCTTGACTCTCAAGACTGGACACTTTATTTTTCCAGGGCCCCCAAGCACGTCCCTCTTATTACATCAGCCTGTCTCACCCTCTACCATAGCCAGGAGTGTTCCTGTACAAGATGGGGGCTCCAGATACACTGGTTAGATTTAATTCACCCAAGTAAAATGCAGCTGGCATCCAAGCTGTCCTCTTGGCCTGGGGTTCTCTGCAGGACAAGCAGCTGTTCCCATAGGAACATGAACACTCAGTAATTGGGACTATGATTGAGCATGCGCACATACCCAACACCAGGCCAGGTTCTGGGACAAACGACCCTGGCCTCAAACTCCTCAGCATCTTGTTGGGACAGAACCCAATATGCTGACACCAGGCAGTGATGATTCGGTGTAAAGCTCCCAGGGTCCGATCCTGTCAGGCACCAAGTACGGTAGGAACTGGAGAGAAGGCAGTTGTGATGGACACAGACAGAGGTTTGAACCTGGCAAGTCCCAGACCTGCTAGGGGTGTGTCTCTCCACGCAGAGGTTTTAAGACTGGAGGTCTGGGATGGACCTGGGAAACCAAAGGTATACTAGAACCCCTGGAGATTTTGCTTAGGAGTACTAGACTATAGGAACCAAGAAGGCTTCCTGGGGTCAAGGTGCACAGTAATGACCACACATCTAACACCGTCCTGTCTACACAGCACATAAAGTGGAAAGACCATTATGTTTTTATGTGTAACAGTTCACACGCCCTACCCATCCATTTGATTTACTTATGCCATTCAGGATGCCAGCTAATAGTTAAAGCTTTTAGAGTCAATGACAAGCCTGTTCCAGAGGGGGTGACTGTAGCTTCTGCTCCCAGGGCTTGGCACTGAGTAAATATGGCTCAGGCCCTTGTGTTCAAAATCCTGGGCACCTTTCCCTTTGTAGCGGGGAGGAAGGCTCAGGTTGGGAGGCCAATACCTTCAAGTTGTCTGCAGAGCCCTGAGCGGAACTACAGCTCTGCCGTGGATCAGAAATGGAGGCGGCGGGGGTCACTGTCACACAGGGATCCCAGACCAGGGGCTCTGGGCTGCCAGCACATTCTGAAACCATATCTGGCAAGAAAAATATCCAAGGCACTTGCCAATACCTTGGGGTTCTTCCCTGGGGTTTCCTGAGTTTTCCAGAAGGGAGGAGACCATCTCTGACCCCACCCTTACAAACGAGCCAGCAAACTCTTTCCCTTTCCCACCCCCAGGTGACCTCAACATTTAGGGGAAAAGAAGTTTCATTACCACAAAAAGCCAGGCATTCCTGCTAAATGCCCGTTGCTAATTAACTGGATTGCAGTCCCGGGCCAGCACCCCTGGGCATCCTGGGCTGATTCCCAGACAGCGCAATTATCGCAACTGCCAGCGGAATGTCACCCCCATGGGTTTAATGCAGGGAGTACCTGGGAAGGTGCGAGGCACCGTCCTCCCCTGGCTCTTTGGGGATCTACCTGGTCTGTCATGGCTCAGAAGGTCTTCAAAACAGACGTGGAGTTACTCGCTGTGGAACTCAGATTTTTGTTTCTGTTGGCATGTGGTATTTTGGTGTTTTCAAACTTCCTTTACTTTACCCACCATATTCACTCTCAAGCCTGCAGGGCAGACCAGGTGAGCAGCGGAAAATTCTCTCTCAAGATGTTCAAGGCACAGGAGGGAGGGTGGCTAGCTCCCTCTTGAGCACCCTGCATGCCTGTGTTCCCCGAAATGTGAGGGAGGCACCCGGGCTGCGGAGGAGAGCCAGGACGAGCCCCAAGGGAGGCACTCCTGCATTCCCACGGAGCGCTCTCTGTGGGCCCCTCCAGCCAGGGGCCATGGGAGCCCTGTGGCGGCAAACGCAGCTCTTTCTTTAACCTTTAGGCTCCGCATAGCGCATAGCGTCATGTCTACCTAGAGGCTGGAATAATAAAGCCTCAGTCGCTGAGCTGGGAAGGGATGAGGTCATCCCGCCCAGCCGCCCTGCCAGGAGAGGCCCGCTGCCTCCAACACATGTTGCTGGGGCTCCCGCCTGTCTGCTTCTCAGGGACTGCACCGAGTGAGCTCCCCCACCTTCCTTTGGGCCAGTCCACCACAAGAAGCAGCTCTTCGCCCCACTTTACAACCTCTGGGAGTTTCCCCCCACATGGAGTGATAATCCTTTGGCTCCTGCTCCCTCTTCTTTCCTTTTCTTCTGACTCTCTCTCCCTGCCCTGTCACCCTTGTCGGCTTGGTCCTGCCCTCCTCACTCCCCCAGCATCTTGCAGCCATGACCCCTGGCCTGACCTGGCCCTGGAGGCTCTGAGGATGCTCGCTTGCCAGGAGGAAGTCCTTTGAGGCCCCTTCAAGCAGTGCCTCTGGGTCCCTTGACCCTGTCACACCCTCAGCCTGTCCTGTGGGCCCCGAGGGGCACCCCTCTTCCTCATTCCAGCTTGCCTAGGGCTCCCTGCTTCTGAACTCCTCTGACTTCCAGAAACCCACATCCTATCCCCACTGCTGATCACAGAGCCCAGCTCTACGTGTGACACTAACAGCTCTAGGGTCCTACTTTGGAACCCAGTGCTTTACCCTGGCCAAACTCCAAGTGTATTTAAAGCAAGAATTTCTTAGCTTTGAGGGATCACGGACCCTTTCGAGAACCTAAACAAAGCTATGGTCTTCTCTGGAAAAATGCATCTGCACGTAGCACTCTGCTGACTGGACTCCCTAAACCTCATCCAAGCTCATGGACTCAGCTGAAGAACCCTTGATCTAGAGGGAAGGAGACTGCAGCCATGGCCCCGGAAGAATGTTTAACCATAAGTCTTCTGCAAGAAGATGGGGCGAGACAAAGGACAGTGGCTGGACGGGTTTGGAAGCTGTTTCCAACAAATATTTCCAACAAAACATAATGGAAAACTACTGATGGTATTTAGTCTACAACTCTGAAAACCAGGTTTCTGGGTTTACAACAGCTTTAAGTCCATACTATGCGTCATACAAAATCAAGTCAAGACTGAGATGGGTCAGGAGTCCGGGTTTGGTCAAACCGGCAGTGGGCGTGCATGTGCAAAAGAGCCAAAGAGAGGCCTCAGTTAGCTAAGGAGAAGCTGAGATTTTCCCAGGGGAGTGGTGGCTGGGTGGGGCAAAAGGGCCTCCCCTAGAGTTTCCAGAAATGTCTCAGTCTTATTAGAGTCCCTTCCATCACAGTTAAGATTCCCCCAAACTTATCGTTGACCTCAAAGCCATACCCCACTGATCCCTCCAGCTCTTGCAGCCTTCCAGAAATATCCTCTGACAACACCGGCAGCTTGCACTCCTAGCTCCAGGCTGACTTACACTGGCACCGAACCTCCAACCGTTCTCTCCCATATGTGCACACAGCCGCCCCTAGAGATCAGAGTTGCTGGATTTCAAATCTGCTCATCAGGTGAGGGCTGGGGACCCTGCATCAGAGGGCGAGATGGTTCCTTACATCACTCCACGTTGGTGGTCTGTGCCACCGGCCTCCCTGCAGAGGAGGCTCTACTCTGCTGAAAGGGTTCATTGCGTGTGTCGAGATATCCAAGCTTCCTTGGATATGGTATGGAAAGTCACACCCACAGGATACCAAATTCCAGATTTTGGAAAAACAAATCCTAAGACTGGTGGCAGCTCTGTCTCTGAGCTGTTTGGGTGGCTGTCCTGTTGACTCCCACCTCCATGGATGGGGGAACCCACTCGAGCCAGGCGCCTCCCTGGTCTGGCCCCATTGAGTTATCTCCCGAATGGAGAGGGGACAGGTGCTGCCCTTGTCCTGCAATGCAGCCTCACCCTGCCAGGCCTGCCCTGGCAGCAACGCACAGCTGGAGAGCCAGCCCCATTCGCCCGAGAAAACTTGCTTTGGCCAACATCTCGGGCCTTGCTCTGCTGTCCCAAGCAGTTTTAAAGAAGGTGAGGCGGGACGGCTTGGAAGCACTAGCCAAGCCAAGCAGACCAACTGAGCCCCATCTGGAGAGGGGTCTGGACCCTGCCAGCTGTGTGGGCGGGTGGGGCTGGGAAATGCCAAGTCAGCCACATTCCAGCCTCTTCCTTGCAAGGCCACTGACAAATAGCTGCACTGGGCAGGAAGGAAGGAGCCACTGTGCGCAGGGTCTCTCCTTGGGGGACCACCAGAAGGCTCACACAGCCCATCCCACCTCCCCTCAAAGTTGACTTTCTCTAGGGCGTGATGGAGAAAGGGGAGGGTTTCCCTGCTGGAGAAGATTCTGCCAGCTGGGATCTCAGAACTCTTCCTTGGGGTCTGATAAATGTTAATGGGCACCATGGGAGGGCCGATCTAAGGGGCAGCTCTCCCTCTGGAGCGCCAGTGGGAAGGACCATGAGGATAATTCAATCATCCCCAAACCTTCACCGAGAACTGCCAGCCTCCAATGACACTTGTCGGCCACCCCTCCCAGCACTGACCGCAAATGGTTCCGTGGACACCCCATTCCACTCTGCCTATTCTCAGATTTGGGCAGTACCACTCCCCCACCCAAAATCGGTCCGGAAGGCCAGAAAAGGAAGCAGCTATCTCCCCTCCCTGCCGTGTCCTATAACTAACAAATCATCTTGAAATCGGATTAATTTCGCTGCTAAAGCTCAGCGAACCATCCCCTCCCCCAGAGCTGTAGTGTGGCCTCTCCTCACCTGTCCCTCCCGATGACGGCTGTAACCTTCCCCACTCCATCTTGCTCCCTTCCCATCCAGCGTCCCCAGAGCCTTCAGGATGATTCTTCCAACATGCTCGCCTAAATCATGGGCGTCGTGCTGCCCTTGGCATGAATCCCAAGGCCCGGCATGATCTGGCCTCTGCCCAAATCTACAGCCTCACCTTTTGCCTGCCTCCCAGATGTAAGCCGTACTTCTCACGGCTCCCTGCACAGGCCCCACCTCACGGCTCTTAAGGTCCCTCTGCCCCAGTCCCTCTAGGTTGGGCCTTTCCCCCTTCACACTGAGGATGTGGCTCAAATGTCATCTCTCTGAAGCCTCCCCTCAAAGGTCCTCCCACCCCCAAGTCCCTGAGGCACTTTCCCATCCTCTGTTGCCACGCTGAGTTCATAGCTGAGTTCATAGCGCAATGACGGGATTGCATACCTCTTCTCTCAACCAGACCGAAGCTCCTCCAGGCCACGGACTTTGCCTCTGTCCCTGTTTGCCCATAGAATCCCACACAGAGCTTACACCAGGAAAGGACAGAGATGTCATGGTTCATACAAAGCCCGAATCTCTAGACCCAACAGGTGGTAGGTTGGGGAGAAGATAGGACTTCTCTGTCCCCTCTTTCCACTGGCCCCAGCAAATGTCCAGCCTTAATTACCAGACCCTGAGAGGAGGGAGGAGGGATCAGATGTGTCTTCCTTGACTTCAGTCTCCTATGCCTACAGACCCAATGTTGCCCAAACTCAGGGCCAAGGCCAGAACCCAGGCAGCCTGGATTCCCAGCTTCTCTTCCATAGTCCTCTTCCAGATGTGCCGCCCAACCTTCAGCTGCTCTGTGCCTTGGTGCTTTCTTCATACAAGGGTGCCTATCTAGGGTCCATCCACACAGTGCCCCAAGTCTCTGGGGCCTGCGCAGGGTGCCATAGGGCTCTGGTGACAAAGGAGGGCCATGGTGAATGATGGCTACGGTTGGCCTCGTGATGAGTCTTGCAGCAGGTGGTGAACCCTCTGATGTGTAGGATAAAAAGGGTACCTTCAGCTGCTTATTCGTTCAACAGATATTTTATTGGGCATCTACTATGTGCCAAGGACTATTCCAAGTGCTAGGAACACAGCAGGGAAGAATGCAGCCCATGTTCCTTCTCCACAGAACTTAGATTTTCATTCAGTAGGGGTGAGACAGACAATAAATAAACCAGCAAAATGTCAGCTAGTGTACGTGCTCGGCTGAGAAATTAAACAGAGGTGTGGAGATAGAAGGTGACCGACAGCCCCTTTAGACTGGCTGGTTGCTAAGAAGGTGACATTTAAATGGATAGTCGGGGCTGGTCACAGAAAGATGGGGCCTGATATTCCAGGCTGAAGCAGTAGCTGGCATGGCGGTCCGGGGGGCAGGCAGGAACCCTGAGGGTTCAGGTTCAAGGTCTATTGGAGGTACTGAGAAGGACAACGGCTGGAGCACAATGAAGGGAGGGAGGACATGGCCAATGAGACCCTCCTGCAGGGCCAGTTCAGGTCAGAGCTAGAACTCGCCCAAAATATAGTAAGATACCTTGGAGGACTTGAAACCCAGGAAGTGGCCTCCTGTACAAGTGCTTCTCTCTCCTTCATCCTGCATCCCCCTGCCCCCGCCTAGATTTCTAGACTATTTCTTGGTTCCCCTTGCCCATATTTTGATTATGAATACAGCCTCTAAGTAACACAATTCCCCATGTGGTTCAAACCTTTCAAAACCCATCAAAACCAAACACGGTCTGGCGTAATAGGAGCTTAAAATGGAAAACATGTTTAGGAAAGAATGTTTTTTTAATCTTTTCCCAAGTCTGTATCTGTATTACACCTTAAAGAGAGAGTTTTTCAAAAGAAAAAAGAAAATCTATTCCCTAAAGACACATGGATATTAAAAACTGTGATTAAAAACATCATACACTTCTTAGTTTTTATTTTCTGCAAAGATCCCTTTGGCCTGCAATTTGAGGGCAAGGCATCAAGTCCTGATGTCCCCTGGCCAGGGGCCCCAGCCTGTGCCCTCAGCCCCTTGTGGGTCCCTTACCTGCTGGCCCAGGAACCGTTCAGTTCTGGTACTTCCCTAGTGCCCTCAGTCTGCCTGGGGCCCAGGCCAGACCATGCTCAAGGGGCGGGCTCCCAAGAAGCAAGTGGGATGCACTTGAAATCTTGCCTCCTCAGGAGCGCTGTGGAAACACAGGCAGGCTCCCCAAGTGGCTGGTCAGGGCCGCCAGCTCCAGGGGGCTGTGGGGGCGAAGCACCTAGACCTGGACTTCTGAAGCCCATGCCCCCTCCTGGGTACTTTTTCCACTCTCTTCTAATAAACACAAGTATCTCATCCCAATTCTTGCCTGAAACAACAGGTATTCCAAGCATAAATCACCACGGCATGGACTACTAAATAAGTTTTCACCATCTCCTCCCACCGACTCTTCTCGAAGTCTGGCTACAGTTCTCTCCACCATAGCTGCTCAATGGTCGAGCACCTGCAGTTGCCCCCAAGCAGCCCCCATCCGCCAGCCTGTCAGCCCCTCTCCATCGTCTCAGACATAGGGCTGGGCCTCCTGGGGAGGCTGATCCCATCCACAGGGTGTGTTAAACCAGAAACCAACCCGAGAGCTCACAGGCCCGTGGGGCTGCTGAGAGTGAGTGCGCTGGACTGGCAGCTTCAGAGAGGCACCCAGGAGGTGGCAAGCTCTGCATTCATTTGGACATGACCTAACCTTGGGCTTCCTGGACAGCCGCCCACACCTGCCTCAGGTGGCAGCATCACTGACAGCCCTGTTTCCCTGCGCCGGACACATGCCCTGTGGTTCTGTGGCTTGCTGGCCAGGCAGCCATGCCAGGGCCTTTTTGGGCCTGGGCCTGTCACCATGCGGGCACTCCTTGCCTTGCTGACGACAGCTCTGCCTCTGGGCAGACGTGGAGGGACTCGCCCCGCCCCCCCTCGGTGAGCCTCAGAGCCCAGAGGCAGGCTGCCCATCCCTGCCGAGCCTGGCTACTTCTTCCACTGTTGAACCCCCTCCACATTCATCCCCTGTTGTGCCTCCTCTCTGGCTTCCTAGCTCCTGACTGTCCCTTCTGTCTCATCTGTTGCCACTCTCCTCTCCTCCTCACCCTGTTCTCCCTGGCCCAGGCCTCCTGGACTATGGATACTCTCTTTCTTGGAGCCCCATTATTCTTTCCTTTTTCCTGGGATGACTCTCCTCCTTTTGCTGGCTCAGTCCTACTTGTCCATCAAAATTCAGCCCAGCTATCACCTCCTCCAGGAAGCCTTTCTGATTCTTCCAGACTGAGTTGGCAAATCCTTCTCTGTTCTTCCACCTCATTTCTCATACTTAGGATGCAATTTGCAAATATCTATCTACAGTCTAGGGTGCCCACCAAGCTACAAACTTTAAAGACAGGAACATGCCTCACATCCTGCATTCCCAGGCCTTAGACCAGTGCTTGGCATGCTGTGTACGTTCACCAGGTGCTGAATGGATAGATGGGTGGATGGATGGATGGATGGATGGGTTGGTGGATGGATGGACGGGTGGGTGGGTGGATGGATGGATGGATAGATGGGTGGATGGATGGATGGATAGGTGGATGGATGGATAGATGGATAGATGGGTAGGTGGATGGATGGATAGATGGATAGATAGGTGGGTAGATGGGTGGATGGATGAATGGGTGGATGGGTGGATGGAT